ATATTATTTCGCGTTTTCCACAGTAATGAATATTAATATGCGTGTGTGTGTGTGTGTGTGTACGTAAGTGGGGGTGCATAGATTTATGAATATAAGTACTATATTAAGGCTAATATGGCTGCTTTTATCTTGCGTGTACGTCTGTATGTATTTGTGAGCAAAATGCACACGCGTATTAATTTATTTGACTGATTCAACAAAATGAGTAAAAACGGGATATAATAATCCAGCAGCTGTTGGCTCAATACCAGCAAACTCGGTGATCTGTGCGTCGATTGAGCTACTTTCAAGTTGTTGTTGTTGTATCGAGGCTACTTTCAAGTGAAATACACTGTTTGTACTGCCATCATCGCGGTCGTCATCGGCACTTATGACTTCATTCCCCACATGCCAATTTTATGTTGAATTCTTTATAAGTTGTCAGTGACCTTTGTTGAAGGTACACTTGTGGCATGTGTCCCGTTATTTTGCTGTTATTATTGTTGTTGCAGCGAGCTGATATTTTGCTGCACGCTGCTTGTAGTCTTAAAAATATTCAAAATTGCATGAAAGTAATACTACTCAGCAACATATATATGTATATACATATTTACCGTTAACAATTTTTTTTTTATTCAAGAATTAATAAAGTCAGATGTATTTGTATGTACATATATGTACATATATTTCCTTGTGATACAGAACAGTAATAGCATAATACTATTTAATTAAATCAACAAAAACTAAATATCATGAAAATTATTTTTTAATTGCTTTTATTGTGTTGCAAGCATCAGAAGTTAGTCGCCTGCCGCTCGCTTTTTGAATTTTTGCAATTGTGGTGCCGATAATTTGACTTTTCCCGGTATATTTCGCGCCAAAGCCTCTTCTTTGATGCTTTTTAGCAAATCCTTTTCACGTGTGCCGCAATTTTTATCCTTGGAGAACATGGTTAAGGCAGTTTTAGCAGCACGTCCACGCTTACCCGTGCCTGGTGTGAGCTTTACGCGAAACCTGCAAGTATTGTATACATTTAGTATAGGTTAGGTTAGCTTAAGAGTTCGAGGTATCCGTTTGTTGTAGTACCAAAACCTCGACATATGACTATACATATAATTAATGACAAAGGCAGTCATAAATCGAAAAAGCACTTTGAGCTTATCACAAATTTGTTCAGGCGACCGATGTCAGTTTCGGCTATGCCTCTGGTGTCGCCGAAGGTAAGACTGCCAAATATTTCAACCTAAGTATTGTAAGTAAGGCTGGACAATGGAAGAGAAAGTGACTGGATGTTTCCAGCTCACATTCTTTCATACAACTTCGAGAACTTGCTTCCGGCAAAGCCTATGCTTGACGGAGAGCTCTTTACAGAAACTGCTTGTCCAACCTCCCTCCTAGCTTCGACCCAATTAAAAAAAAAACTCACTACGCGTCTCCTCCAGCGACTACTTCCCGTCCACATATTACTCGTCGGTGTGTGAGCAGTTAAAAAGGCACTTGGTAATTTAGTATACTTTAAATTGACTAGTAAAATATAGCAAATTCTTACTTGTAATTTTGCAATGCTTGATATGGCGCCACCACAGGTATAACAAACAATAATTCGTCGCCTTCAAGCGGCTGTCCGGTAAGCGCGTCTAACATGGCCACATCGGCACCTGCAGGCATATCATCGTCATCTATTTCGGCTGCACCTTGTGATGGTTCTTCTTTGCGCGCGAAATTTCGCCTTTCCTTTTGTGTGTTCTGCATGTTCAGCTCTTCTTCGGCCTTCTTTTTGGCTAAATCAATTTTATCTTTACCAGCGGAGTTCAATAACATCATACGTAGTTCCCGTTCCTCCTCATCTTGATCCTTATATTTGGCTTTCATCTTCTTTAGTTTACCACGCTGTCCACGCTTCAGATTGGAATTCTTTGTGTCTTTTTCTTCCGCATTTTGTAGCTGCTGCCGCAATTCTTGTTGCGTTTTACGTTCTTTTTCCTCTTTACGCTTTTTAGCATTTTGTTGTTGTTTTCTGCGTGGTGCCGCTGCCGGAATTATTGTTGCTTCTTCTTCCTCTTGTTTTACAACAACGTTTGCTGTGATTTTCGCGCGTTCAGCATCTTCGATAGTCGATTCCACAACAGAATCGGTACGTACAGTTATGCGTCCAGTGTCGCGTTCAATTTTTACTTGAGTGTCTGGAAAGTTGATTGAGTTGTCTGACGAATCTGTATCTTCAGCATCTTCATCGACTCTCTCCAATTGCTTTGTTTTCAATTCTTCTTGCGGGATCTCACTCGGCTTGGGCTCTTCGTCTAAGTTTATTTCTACATCTTCAGTGAGATCCAACTGTTTCAAGCGCTGTTCTTGCTCCTCTAGTTCGTCTTGTTCCTCCTCGAAAGTACGCAATTTTCGATCGCCACGATGTCGCTCCACAAAACTGTCCTCCAACTTAAAGAGCAGACTTAAGCCCATTATCAAGTGGCAGGATGGTAGAAAATTCTTCTTGCCACGTATCATGAAGCTGCCAGTACCTAGATATTCACCAGAGGGCGCCGTCTTAGTGACTTGATCACTACGCACCCAATACGCGTTAGTCACTACCTTGGCGTCCCAAGCCACACTGTATGATATAGCCATCGTGCCAGCTTCTAATAATGTCTTTGGCGGCACTTCAGCGCCGCTGGGATTTCGTATGACAACACTTGAGGCACCTTGAATTTCAGCGTGCACATAAATGTCTGTAGGTCTCATGTAACTGCAAGTAAGAAAAATTTATGCAGTTAAAAAGGTTTATAAACAATAAAATATAATAATAAATTACCGTTTCACAATCAGTTCGTTTTGTTGCGCATCCCTACCGCCAATAACTAAATAATTTTCAGAGCTAATAAACCAATAAAACTTTTCGAACCAATAGACTTTGCGCGCCTTCGAAATTGTGGATATTATGCGCACTTCTTTTAATGTTTGCTGAGTCTTGCGTTCGGCTGATTTCAAAGCTTTGTTTGAAGCATCGATTGTTTTTTGTTCTTTATTCGCCGCATAGCGTTTTAGATCGTAATACTTTCTTGCATTTGCCCAAGCCGATAGCGCCAAATCCACATCAACAATTAGCGTTGGTAAACCATCAACGCTATCCTCATTATTATCGGCATCATCAGAGCCGCCTTCCTCGTTTTTATATGGATCTGAGAGACGCAGTGAAATATGATTAATTTCCAATTTCAGTTTTGTAATTGCTCCAGCTATGGGATCATCATCAGCTTGCGCCTCTTTGACAATTTTTTCAATGTCTGGCCAGGACATTTGTGATGCGATAAGCGATTGAACAGCAGCTATAGCATGTTCAACCAACTCTTGATTACAGGTTATAAGTTCGGCCTTTTGTTTATCAACTTCCTGAGATCTGGTTAAATTGTCAAGACGCTTTGCATGATCATTCTTAACGTTGGATAGCTTTTTCAAAGCTTCTCGCTCTTGTTGTAAAGTTTTCAGATCGATTTTCTGCGCTTCCTGTGTGGAATAAAACTCATCCACCGCCAACATAAATGTTCCAAACTCTGCTCTTGGTTGTCCTTCAAACTGTGCAAATGGATAGGGATGGTACTCGATATTTTGATAAAAATCCTCTTTTGCATCATCGTTCATCGTAGTTGTAGGTTTCTCCTCACGTTTTTGTATAATATAACCTTTCGACACAGATGAGCGACCCTCTGCAAAGATTTGGGTGGCTTCCTACAAAAAATATATATTTACAGATTATTTTAAAAATTTATATATAATTTAGTATGCTACCTGTATTGCTTGAACCAGCGTAGGTAAATCAGTATTAATGATAAAATTTCGCATGTTTATTGATTTGCCTTCCCTTTTTTTTTGCTTACGAGATTTTTTACCACCACCACTTTCTGCTTGCACTTCTTCTTCTGCGACCGTACTTGTATCTTCTTTCTTTTCAATTATACAATTATCTAGTTTATATTTATGTAGTACATGATCTATCACGGCCGGACCAAAATCAACTTTCGGCATTAGTAAACGTCGCAAATTGTCACCGGGTTTTGCGGTTTCTATCAAAGCACGCACATCATTCTCCGTTAAATCAGCAGCTTGTTCTTTTGCACGATTTGAAGGATATTTTTCACGTACCGCAAATCGTACTTCTTCACCTTCATAATGTGGCCGCAGGATATACAAAATGGTAAGTTCATGGTCAGTGAGTATAATGTTGCCCCTATCGTACAGCTCAACTATAACATGATATGCAGCTTCGCTAGTTCCAAATTGCAAATCAATTATACGATCCATGCCAAGTTGTTCCAACTTTTCCAAACGTTTGTTTTTGAGATGTTTTCTCAGTTTCATACTGAAGCCCGAAGGCGCAACGTTCTTTGGCCATTCAAAAGCTGTTGTATGAAATCGTATGCCGGACTCAATTAAAAGCACTGTTTTACTTTCGCCTCCTTGAAATCGTATTAAATATGTTTTGTTGTCGATGTCATAGATTTGATTTACGCGCTGTCCAACCAAGCTTTAAGCAACGAAAATTATTACGTACTATAAGATTCATACTATTTTATCTAAAACTTACTGCTGCAACTCCGCGACACCACAAACAATGTCATATGTATTAAAGCGTGTTTTCATTGCTTTAATTTCGATTTTTGGGTTTCAAAATGATTTGGAATATAAAAACTAATTAGAATAAACTATTAAATTCCTTGCAAATATCAACTGACACGTTTCCTGATGTCGTCGCTTACTCAGCTGATTACAATAAATATGGTGATGCCAGCTTATTAGTTTTAAACACAACACTTCTAAAATCATATAAAACTATTAATATAAGAACATTGCTTATTGTTATAAATATAAGTATTTCGACTCAAAGGCGTGTGGTGGGTGCATTAATATACACAAATAACGCTTAAATCAGCAGGTCAGTTCATGAAAATTGCGCCACAGGGTGACCTGTAAGTGTATTTCAATTAATAGTGCATTTTTGATATGGCCACTTTTTTCATCTTTCTTTTGAGCAAATTTCGCAGAATCCTTATATATGTTTTGGTTCCTAATTCGTCAGCTGTGCACTATGACACCTGGAGCGAAAATCTGCAAAGAATTATAACAAAACGTCTCATCAAAACAACGCCTCCCCCTATAGGAAATATAAGTGAAAGTTTAGAGTTTTTTAAATAAACATATAAAACACATAATTTAATGTCGATGTTTAAGGCACGGTAGGTACCAAAGATTTATGTTATCAAACCGATAAAAAACTGACTATAACTTTATTCTAAAAGTGTTAAAGAATTTGAAGATGCACTAGAAGGTCCCGAAATTGACATAAATGCACTGCGAAACCTATGTTTTTATGGTAAGCTAAAAGCTATATACATATATAATTAAATAATCGAAAGAATTATTTTCATATATATAGGAATACCTGACATAGGTAGTTTTAGAACAACTTGTTGGAAAATTCTTCTTGGTTATTTAGGACCGAAGCGGAGCACATGGACTGAAACGCTAAGCAAAAAACGAGCATTGTATCGTCAATTCATAGAAGAATTAGTACTGCCACCTGGTCGAAATGGAAACGACAATCAAGATAATACAAATACTGGACTTAATGATCACCCCTTAAGTGAAGGACCTGAAAGCGCTTGGAATACGTTTTTCCAAGACAATGAATTCCTCTTGCAAATCGACAAAGATGTTCGACGCTTATGTCCCGATATATCCTTTTTCCAACAAGCAACTGAATACCCTTGTGACATTGTGGTGCATAGCAAAGGTGAACGAAGATTGCATCAACGTGTTGTCCCCACTATGCTAAGCTCAGCGAATGTGGAACGCAAGGGTTTAGGTATTACAAAGGTAAGAGATATATACACGATGGCACATCAGTTATGTGAAGAACACACAAAAATCTAACTATATCACATTTATATCTTGTCATGCTTTACCTTTCTTACATTAAGTAGCAGGTAATTGCAAACTTAAAACATTTTCACTGCAATTATTGTAATTTTAACTAATAGCTTTCATACTTATAGATAAATCTTATCACAAAGCGTTCCAATGAAAATTACGTAGCAATGGAGGAAGGGCTGGAAGCACATTGGGAAGTAGTGCAGCGCATTCTCTTCCTTTATGCTAAACTAAATCCAGGGCAGGGATATGTCCAAGGCATGAATGAGATTGTTGGCCCAATATATTATATTATGGCCTCTGATCCTGATCTGGAATACAGAAGTAATTGTCATTTCAATATTCTTAAATGTTTTTGTCACATAACAAAAAAAAAATTTTTTTTTACTATTCTGTAGAATATGCTGAAGCCGATTGTTTTTTCTGCTTCACCGCTTTGATGAGTGAAATACGTGACTTTTTCATAAAAACGCTCGACGATTCTGAAGGCGGTATAAAATTTATGATGGCGAAATTAGCTAATATGCTTAAACAAAAAGATCCAGAGGTCTATAATAAACTAAAAGAACAAGAACTGCATCCACAATACTATAGTTTTAGGTAATTATTCCCAGTATTCCCTCTAGAAATTACCCAATTTTACTTAAAAACTACATTTTAGATGGATTACGCTGCTGCTATCACAAGAATTTCCACTACCCGATGTGGTGCGCATATGGGATTCTGTTTTTTCCGATGAACACCGTTTCGAATTCTTAATAAGAATATGCTGTTCGATGATTTTGTAAGTTTTTTTTTGCATATTTTTAATAATCTCACACAATACACTAACTATTATCACAGCTGTTATGGTTTTAAACTATCAAATCTTTCATTTGCTCTCAATCATTTAACATTTCATTGTTGGTGTTAAGTTCTTAGATAAAGTGTTAATAAAAAATTGTGCTCTTCTGCAATAATTTCAGAATTCAACGAGAACTCATACTAAAAAATGACTTTGCATCAAATGTAAAACTTTTGCAAAATTATCCGCCTATTGATATCAACATAGTGTTGTCGCACGCCGTATCTTTGAATGGATAATACAGATTGCTGTAAAAAACAAAAAACAAAAAACAAATATAGACATCCCAAGCCAATTTTTACACGCCATTCTTATAAGGCAAACACTAGTTATACATAAAAAATACACATTTCTAGCTTTTAAGAATCTTCATTTATAATTTATATACTCGGATTTATAGTAGCTATGCTATATACATATATATTAAATAACTCAAATCATTTTACTCGAAATGTTCATTTAATATAAATATTTATCTTTTTAATATATTTTTTACCCAATGCAGAACTTATAAATAATTTTCATGCTTAACTTAAAGGGCTATATCCATTTGGAGCCAGATAAAATTACTTTTGATTAATATACAATACAAAAAAGACTTTTTGAAACTCACAAGTGCATATAACCCCATCATAGTTAGGTTAAACAGCGATCTATAAGTTAAATACTCAATGTGAATCAAAGTAAAATACTTTCTGCCCCGCACGTGTTTTCTGAAAACCAATGAGCTTCATAATAAGCTAACCTCAAAGATAGCCCATATCATAAAATAACTAATGATAATATTAAAAAAAAAAAGTTAATAAAAACATTCCATTGTTCAATATCTTTTATACAAAATATATTCTGGGACCTTGCCCTATATTTATTCACTAAAAGTTATTTGTAGCAGACATATTTGAACAGTTAATTTGCATTTGCTATTTACGAATTACGGTACGAATACGCGTTACTATACACACATCAATTTTTAAAAAATAATATACATCACTCATCCGTTCTCAGTCCGTCTTCACTGTTTGGTGTTGTTCTCACCTACTTTTTGACATTCAATTTTGGCGCTGTATCTTTGCATATGGTCTGTGCTATGAACTCAATCAAAGTGCGTGTGGGCCTGCCAGCCATACCTTTGCGTATATACTCGAAAGCTTTGCCATCGGTCACCATCACGTTAGTGGCATCCTGAAAAATATAGATTAGTATAATAAAGACATAATTAGTAATATGATATTCTTACGATATGCATCCATTGGCCACATGGTACAAACTCTCTCAGGAAAGCAGCCGCTTTGCATGGGCGTCCACCACGCCCAGCTCCATAGTTCTGCACATCGCTCGCTGCACCTGCTGTTACTTGCTTAGTATAGAAATTCCATAATGGGAAACGCCACACCCGATCTCCAGTATGCATGCTGGCATGTTTGATTTGCTGCCAAAGAATTTCCGAGTTAGTGAAGACGCCGCAAGCCGCTTCATCTAAAGCGTTACGCATCATTCCCGAAGTAGTACCAACATCCACAATAAACTTGGGGCAAAAGTTTTGCGCATACAAAAGTGCATCGGCCAACACGAGCACATCCTCATGATCTGTACCCTGAACTTTAATATGTTTGCCATTCATAGCTTTAGTAACATCACCGGGTCGGAAGGAATTGCAGCCCATAACATTTTCGCAGAGTGGAATTAAACCACGTATGTTTACCTATTAACAACAAAAACCAATAAACAAGTTCATTGTCAAGTCGAACAACAGGACAATTACAGACTTTTACTTACCGGTAAACGCAATCCTGCAATGGCTCTACATGCAGCCACTACTACGGCCGCGCCTGTCATGTCGCCACGCATATGAAATAATTCCTGTAGCTGCTTCAAGCAGAGACCACCACAGTCATAGGTGATGCCTTGTCCTACCAAAACTATTGGACGCTCCTCGGCCGATGTACCATAGTAACTTAGCTCTAGAAAAATCGGTGGCTCACAAGATGCCTTACCCACCGATAAGAAAGCGTGCATGGATTGAGATTCTGCCCAGCCCTCCACCTTCACCTCAACATTTACACCCGACTTACATAGGACTTCGACAACCGTTTGTGCAAATGCGGTGGGTGTGAGCAAGTTCGACGGCATTTCTTGTAATTGTCGGGTAAGATTCTGTGCAGCAGCCTTTTGCAAACCGATTCGCCAGCCTTCAATATCACAAAGCTCATCCTTGTGCGTGTACAAATCAATTGCCGGAACAACTATGCGTCGTTTGATTTCTCTTAGTTCTTGATACGCCCAAATACCTAGTGCAGCACCCTCGGCTGCCGATTCGGCATGACCACAGTTCTCAATCTCAATCTTTTCGGTATCTAAGTACGCTAACTCTATACATGCTTTTGCTACAGATCTACGTATCGCCTCCTTTTGTTCATCGAGCACCTCATATGAGTTATAGCCCAAACACTCCTTACCTAAGCCCACAACGGCCACAGCCGAGTAGTAGGGTACTTTTTCTGGTTCAACAGCGAATAAAATACGCGCTTCACCACGCTTCGGCATTGGTCCCGACATACGTAATACCTCCAATAAGCGGCCGGCTGTCTTTTGTACATTATATCGCCAAGCAGACGGCGTCAAGATACCCGCATCCGTCTTATCGTCCTCGTCGGCATACACGCCCAACACTAAACCACGTGACGGCGCATCGGCACATATTTCGGTTTGTTGCAATTGCAACAATTGATTTATAGCTGGCGAGACGTACGTACGTAGCTGCGGCAGGATACGGGAAACTGATTTAAATACATTGCCGAATGATTTGGGACGCAGTAGACCAAACATTATGATCGGCTTGAGTATACAGATAAAAAAAAATCCTATTAAATATAATCGCGAATATTTTTATTAAATAGATTTACATATATTTTTAAGCAAGAAAATTTTATTTAAAAAAAATTCTACAAATAAATTTTCTCTATGTATAGTCGATTGGAAATATTTCGGGTTACTGGCTAGTAAAGTTTTACATCGTTTCGAAAAGAAGTACATTTGTATGTAAAAGAAGCATTCGCAAGCATAAAGTGTGCTGGATATCATAGGTATGCTAATGTATTCACGACTGCGATTATTTTAAATAATACTATTTACTATGAAATACTTTGGGAAAGTTCAGTTCGCACAATTTTATTCTTAACTAGAAAAAAAAACGTTAACTTCGGCAGCGGCGAAGCTAAAATACCCTTCACAAATTCCAATTTTTTTTACAAGAACTTTATTTTGATCGGTCAGTTTTTATGGCAGCTATATGCTATGGTTGATCTGTTCTATTTCTTTGGAGATTGCATTATTGCCTTGGAGAATAATCCATGCCAATTTCGTCACAGAAAAAAGGCTTCCATACAAGAACTTTATTTTGATCGTTCTGTGTCTTTTTCAGCCATATGCTATAGTGGTCCGATATCGGTCGTTCCGACAAATGAGCAGCTTCTTGGAGAGAAAAACAAAATTTCAGATCAATATCTCAAAAACTGAGAGACTAGTTCGCTTATATACAGACAAACGAACATAATCACATTTTACATTTATGATCACCATAAAATAAGCTACTTAGAAACTAGACATTGCATTCATTTCCGAATAATCTAAAATTGGGTTGGAGTCATCTTATTATTTATTTACATACTTATAGTTCTTTGGTACAAATAAAGTGAGGTACAAATGGCCTTCGCGTACTAAATACACTGAACCCTGCTTCGCTTAATCTGAACCCTTTAACATCGATCAACGTGTACGATTCATTTACCGTACACAAATTATTTGAGAATCGTCTGCTCATAGAGAAGATCGGCCCACACCTTGCCCAAGGCCAGTAAATCCGATAATCCTTCACGGAGTACAATCTGAGTTGGTAATAAAGATTGATTTGGTTTATAATTTTTCAGCAGGCCCTCAAATTTTATTGACTTTTAGCGGGAGGGTTGACTTTAAAGTATCAATCACTTCACTCAAATGTTAAGTGGGATATTATCGATAAAACCAAGCATGTTCATAATTCAAAATAAGAACTTCTAGAACTTCATCCAACAACGTATTTTTTCCTAAGAACCCTACTTATTATAAAACCTATAACTAACATCTCAATTTATTTCACACACCTTATACCTATTCTAACGATCTGTGTGTTCAATCTCATACAAAACGAAGACTATGTGTTTACTTAACTTTCACGTCGTTATTGTTGTAGTGGCAGAAAACATCCCTTAAGTAATTTGTAGAAATACTGTCGAGTTCTTGACCGGATAAAAATCCGTGTTCATTACTTTTACGTAGACCCGACTATCGTGGGAACGGACCTTCACTTCATCGTCTCCTTTCCAATAACGCGTTTCTGCTTTCTTACATTTTGGACCACTCCTACATTTTAGGTTTAAAAGTCCACTACAAAGTTGTTTTATGTTTGTTAGAGAGTTGTTATGGGTCTATAGCCTCGACGGCTTCTGTGACTGACTAAGAAATTGGATCTCGAAAGCTTTTTAATATAATTGAAATGGCCAGCCCCTGTATGGCTATATCAAAAGCGTCATCATAAGAGCGTCGAACGCCATAAACTCAGGATATCTACACCCTTAAGTGTGATATATTTTAGATTCTTCTCTGGTACGTGTATTAGTAAAAAAAACACACACGGTTTCTTATGTTTTAAAATACAAATTGTATTACAAGTTATGTTACCATTTTTATAACAAAACTGCGTTGCGTTCTTTGAATATAAATTATATGATAATGGTATTAGATGGCTAAATCTCTGACAGTAGTAGCATTGTTTAACGAAACGACGTAGCTCAAGAAGCTTGCCGCGCTTCCGTAGTCTCATGATCACCTACTTTTTTTGCTTCAATTTTGGTTCCGTATCTTTACAGATTGTCTGGGCAATAAATTCAATCAATGTGCGCGTAGGCCTGCCAGCCATACCTTTGCGTATGTATTCGAAAGCTTTACCATTCGTTACCATAACGTTAGTGGCATCCTGAAAAATATAGATAAGTATAATGAAGACGTAATTAGTAATATGATATTCTTACGATATGCAACCATTGACCACATGGTACAAACTCTCTCAAGAAGGCAGCTGCTTTACATGGGCGTCCACCACGAGCAATACCATAATTTTGCACATCGGTCGCTCCACCCGCTCTTATTAACTTCGAATAGTAATTCCATAAGGGAAAACGCCACACCCTGTCACCAGTATGCATGCTCGCATGTTTGATTTGTTGCCAAAGAATTTCCGAGTTAGTGAAGACGCCGCAAGCCGCTTCATCCAAGGCGTTACGCATCATTCCCGAAGTAGTACCAATATCCACAATAAACTTGGGGCAAAAATTTTGCGCGTACAAGAGCGCATCGGCTAGCACTAGCACATCCTCATGATTTGTACCTTGAATTTCGATATATTTTCCATTCATAGTTTTGGTGCAATCGCCGGGACGGAATGAATTGCAACCAATTACATTTTCACAAAGTGGTATCAAACCTCGTATATTCACCTGGTATTACGTAAATTACAAAATATAAAAATAAAATTAGTGATATAGCATTGCTTACCGGTAAACGTAAACCCGCAATAGCTCTACATGCAGCCACTACTACGGCCGCGCCTGTCATGTCGCCACGCATATGCACCAATTCCTGTAACTCCTTCAAGCAAAGACCACCGCTGTCATAGGTGATGCCTTGTCCTACCAAAACTATTGGACGCTCCTCGGCCGATGTACCATAGTAGCTCAGCTCTAGAAAAATCGGTGGTTCACAAGAGGCCTTTCCCAC